AGACCCTGGATCTGAGCCCATTAAAAACAAGAAATGTCTCTGGAGGCTGTTCACTGTTTGCCAAGGCAGCACTGGGGGCTGTGGACTGCAGGTGATTTCATCAGGTGATGGCCTGCCCTGCGCTTCGTTCCAGGAGAAGGGTCTGACCAGTCGGATGGGTGGCCAGCTTTTGTCCTTTCTGCAGGTTCTGGAGACCGAGAGAGGCCGAGCTGTCACTACCAGCTGCTTCGTCCTTTCTCCTTAGCGTTTGGGACCAGAGAGCAAAGGATCGATTCCACTTGGGGTACCCTGGACTCATGCATTTAAGAAACATTTATGAGCACCCGCTGCGTGCCAGGCACTGTTCTAGGTTTTGGGGCTAGAACTGTGGAGCCATCAGAAGTCACAGGGGACAAAAGACGGGATCAGTAGATAAATACATAAAAGTATATCGTGTGTTAGATGATGAGTGCAGGGTTGAAAATATTGGGGGCCAGGGAAGGCTCCACGGAGAAAGGAACTCTAAAGACAAGAAGGGGGTGAGAGCACCACTGCAGGGCTCTAGGGGAGAGGTGTTCCAGGCAGAAGGAACAGCAGGGCGAAGGCTCTGGGATGGGAGCACGCCTGGTCAGTCTGCAGACAGAGGGGAGGCCCCTGCGGCTGCAGAGAGTGGGCGGAGAGGGGGTTGGGGTTAGGGAGGGAGGGAATTGGGTCCCACCACTCTCTGTGGATGGCCTGAAGGAGGCTCCTCTGAGTGAGCAGGAGCCCCGGAGAGTGTCAGGAGAGGAGACTCTGGCTGCACCATGGGGAATAAGTGACTGGAGTCCCATCAGGAAGCAATTGGCCTGATTTCAGGGAGAGAGGATGATCGCCTGGCCCACAGGGGAGGTGGCAAGGGTCTGACCGTGGATGCTTACATTGAAGAGAGAGCAACAGGCTTTGCTGATAGATTGGATGTGGGAACTGAAAGATGGGAGGAACCGTAGCCAAGATGATTGCCCGAGTACCCAGAGGAAAGGGGAGTGGCTTTGGGAGGAGCTGGAGGGACGGTGACATCAGGGCTCGGCTGTGGGTGTGGCACTCGAGGTCTAATCGACAGCCAGATGACATCAGCGGATGTCAGGGTTGTACCAAGCCACATATCAAGGGATGTCAGGTCCCGGTTGTACCAAGCCAGTGATTGCTAAATTCTAATCATTCCCTCACAATTTTCATCATATATCTGTATGCCACTTGTACTATTACTTACTTTTTAAAAATTGGCTGTAATTGTTTGTTGTTGTTTTTAAAAGAAGGATTTCTACTACCCTAAAGGAAAAGCTGAGGTTACTTGCCCTAAATAGAAGGAAACCAACTCACGCAATTAACCTAAGTCAGTGCCACCCCCTGCCTGGAGCTCCAAGCGGCCTTTCACACCACCAGTGTCCCTGGTGTTTGGTGATGTGACTCTGTGCTGCCCCACCACTGGTGTGCCTGATGAAGTCACCACTAGGTGGCCCCCTTCTGGGTCACCAAGGGACCATTCTGAGCTTAACTGAAGCCAAGAGGGGACCAGGAGCATGGGGACCTCGCTGTACTTCCTCAGGACACTGTTACCACCTCCCGTGTGACAGCAACGTTTTGTGAATGTGAAACTCAGCACCCCACCTTTACTGGGTTTGAGTCTTCTCTGCCTGCCCAGCTGTGCAGCCTTAGCCAGTCATTCAGCTCCCAGGTTCAGTTCCCTCTTCTGTAAAATGGGCCATTGGCAGAATTAAGTGATGAGTGCCTTCAGCCCTGCCATAAGCATTCCGCCAGTGGTAGTCGCCACTATTAAGTATAATGATTATTGTTGGCATAGAAGACTGCCCTCTTCCCCAGGAATAAGTTGGAGCGCTCTCAGTTCCCTAGGTATACCAGAAGGTTGCAACACCCAGGCGTTCAGGGGTCAGGCAGGTAATGAGAGTGGGTTCAGGTGGCGTAAGACTGTAGGGAGTGCAGGGGAGTGTGGCACACTGGAGAGCAGATATTCTGTGTGATGCTATTAATATCAAATTTTTAAAATCCACTCTATAAGACACCAACACACAGATCTGTGGACATCAACTGGTTTGGACTCCTGAGATATGAAAACCCAAGAGTGTAAGATAGTATTCGATGTGTTATTGTAGCTGGTGTCTGTTGAGCACATGATGTGCCAGGCACTGTGCTAGGCAGTGAACAAAGTAGGCTGAGTCCCTGCCCTTGTGGAGTACTCTGGTGAAGGCAGCAACACACAAATAAGTGAAATCAAAATGACTTATGTTTGAGGACAGTGACTGCTATGGAGAGACACGGAGTGGGGAAGCAGAGTGGAGAGTGCTATGGGTTGGGGGAGGCAGTTTCAATACAGGCCAGGGAAGGGCCTCTCCAAGAAGATGGTGTCTGATCAATAATTTGAAGAAGACAGAGGTAGCCCTGTGACTGGAGGAATGGGAGCATCCTAGGCTGGGGGTACGGCTGAGGCAGAGACCAGGAGGTGGGAGGGCAGCCAGTGTGCAATCCTGGGACCTCAAGGGCAAGACCTTGGTGCCTTGATTGGTGGTAAAAATTGAAAGTAGAAGCAGCTGATTGGTGAGCAGAGGGCCCTCCCCAGATCCCCAGGAGGCTGTGGTGGGTCTAATGTGTGTTTTCAGGTCTCTAGGGGGTTGCTAGGTGAGTGGGATCACAGCCTTCACATGCCTGGTAGACCCTGTTTTGGTTTCCCACTGCTGTCCTAACAAATCACAAACTGAGTGGCTTAAAACAACAGAAATGTACTCTCTCAACAGTTCTGGAGGCCGGAAGTCCGAAATCAAAGTGTTAGCATGGCTGTGCTTCCTCAGAAGGCTCTAGGGGAGAGCCCTTCGTTGCCTCTTCCAGCCCTGGGACCCTAGGAGTTCCTTGTTCCTTGGCTTGTATGTGCATCCCTCCAGTCTCTGCCTCCCTTTGAATGTGGCCTTCCCCTCTGTGCGTCTTCTCCACTTTGTGTCCTATGTGGACACTTGTCACTGGATTTAGGGCCCACCTGGGGAATCCAGAACAAATCTCACCTCAGTATCCTCAATTTAATTACGTCTGCAAAGACCCCCTGTATTAAGTCTGTCTTCATGCTGCTGATAAAGACATACCTGAGACTGGGTAATTTAGAAAGAAAAAGAGGTTTAATGGACTCAGTTCCATGTGACTGGGGAGGCCTCAGGATCATGGCAGAAGGTGAAAGGCACATCTTACATGGTGGCAAGCAAGAGAGAATGAGAACCAAGCAGAAGGGAAAACCTTTATAAAACCATCAGATCTCGTGAGACTTATTCACTACCAAGAGAACAGTATGGGGAAAACCACCCCCATGATTCAATCGTCTCCCATCAGATCGCTCTCACAACACGTGGGAATTATGGGGGCCACAATTCAAGATGAGATTTGGGTGGGGACACAGACAAACCATATCACCGTCTTTCCAAATATGGTCATGTTCACAGCCTCCAGAAATTAGGACATGGTCTTATCTTTAGGGGACGGGGGCACCATTCAACCAGCTGCACACCTTAAGAACTGCAAGGAAAAGGGGAAAATCCAGGGATGGCCATAGAAGGAAGAGAGAGGATTTCCATGGAATGTTTCCATCAAATCACTAAAGGTCTGGGCACCAACCACAGCATACAATTGAGCATGCACTTGTCACACCTATGTTGAGTACACACTGTGTGTCACACGGCAGCAGTGCTGAGGATTCAGCACTGAGTGGAACACACGGCCTTTGCCCTCCTGTGACTGTGGCCTGCACACAGTAGGGCTCCCACACACGTTCATTTGCTTCCTTCCTTCCTTCTTTCCTTTCTTCCTAAGTGTCTTGCTCTGCTTACAGCTTGGTTGAGGAACAAGAGCAGGCATGGCCAGACAACGTGGTTCATGACTGTAATCCCAGCACTTTGGGAGGCAGAGGCAGGCAGATCACTTGAGGTGAGGAGTTCAAGACCAGCCTGGCCAACATGGCGAAACCTTGTCTCTACTAAAAATACAGAAATTAGCCAGGTATGGGGGCTACTTGGGAGGCTGAGGAAAGAGAATCTCTTGAATCTGAGAAGCAGAGATTGCAGTGAGCTGAGATCATACCACTTCACTCCAGCCTGGGCAACAGAGCAAGACGCTGTCTCAAAAAAAAAAAGAAAAGAAAAGAAGAGCAGGCATGACTGAAACCTCAAAGCCTGGGGTATGATCAGTACTCAGGACACATGCTGCAAGAGTGCTCAGGACACACGCTGCAAGAGTGCTCAGGACACATGCTGCAAGAGTGCTCAGAGCTCTCAATCCCCGGCGGCCAGGGTGGTGCCAGAGGCTCCTTACGAGAGGTGTACTAGGCTGATGGGTTGGATTTGGGGTGAGGGTTGATGGGTTCCAGGCTCGAAGAAACATGTGGACAAGAGGCCAGCAGGGTCTGTGGCTGATGGCAGGGCACCCCAGCCAGGGAATACTCAGGGAGAAGGTTTGCCACCAGGTTGGCATGACCAGATCAATAAGAGCAAACAATTCTTGGGAAGGTTCCAAAGAAAACAAAGTATAATCTTCCCTCAATTTACATGGTGGTTGGTTTCGGAAAGAAAAAACAAAACAAAAACAATGTTCTGTTTAAAATTTGTAGAACAGTTTGATTCCAGTCTCAGGTCATTTATAAACAGGTTTTTACCTGCCCTGCAGGTAGAGATGCAATTACAGTACAGGACAGTGACAGTACAGGCGCTTACAGTCACGCACCTCCAGCACCATTGCAAAATCCTCCAGACTCCAGACCTGGACCGCAGGAGTGTCCAGGCAGACTCAGGACCCAGGGTCCTCCCTGATGGTGCCGGTCGGTCCCACCGTGCAGCAGTGGCCCCGTCCACAAATGCCACCAGTGGCCCCTGCCCCATAAGTCTGCAGAATGTGCCCGCTCCAGACCTAGGGATGCCACGGTGAGAGTCCCCCCAGTGCCGGTGCCCCCCGGGTCTCCTGCCCTGCGCCTCACTTCCACCTTCACCTTGCAGGTTCCATGCAGGTGATGAACAAGACCCGGCGCATCATGGAGCAGGGCGGGGCGCACTTCATCAACGCTTTCGTGACCACGCCTATGTGCTGCCCCTCGCGCTCCTCCATCCTCACCGGCAAGTACGTCCATAACCACAACACCTACACCAACAACGAGAACTGCTCCTCGCCCTCCTGGCAGGCGCAGCACGAGAGCCGCACCTTCGCCGTGTACCTCAATAGCACTGGCTACCGGACAGGTGAGCAGGGACGGGGGTGGGTGCAGGAAGGGAGAGACAGCCGAGGCGGGCATCCCTGGGTGTGGTCCGTGCGCCACTGTGGTACCCGAGATGATTGTGGATAGCCCCTAGAGCAACTCTCTTATAATTTCAGAGTTGTGCATTTATTTCTGTGTGTATTAGAGAAATATAGATGTATTTGCCTACAGTAGTGATGCAAAGTGACCTTGTCAAAGGAATTTGAGTTCCCCCCCAAAAAAGTGAGTCTTTTCAAAATATGAATTATAGTGCAGAGAGGCCACAAGGTGCCCGTGCATGAGTTTGCATCCTCTGTTAATTGTTATTAAGCACATCAGGGACTGTTGTGTTGACTTCAAACCATCAGCTTGGAAGAAGGTTCCAAAATATGGGGGTGGGGGATGGGAATTCGTGGAGGGCAACAGATATGGGGCTGTGTGGTCACTCTCTACATGGCGGTAACCAAGGTGGTGCAGAAGCTGACGTGGTGGTTGACTGTCCACACACCCGGTAAGTGTCGTCCTCGGTGGAGGGTGACCTGGTTCCTGTTTGCTTATCCTGCAGGAGGTCTTTGGTGGGCTCTGAAGGCTCACCTACCAGGCTGGTTGTCTGAGGTAGAGATGCAATTACAGTATAGTCACTTACCTCCAGCCCTATTGCAAAACCCTTCAGACTCAATTAATTTAACTTGCTTTAATTAAAAATAAATAAATACTCCCCACCTTGGGTAAGAAGCTGCGGCAGTTGTGAAATCAGATACTGTGGTTCAGATGTTGCAACCCCAGGAAGTTGCATCCAAGTGACAAGGGGTTTGTTTGGGTGGGAGTGCCGCAAGGGAAGGATGGATGCCTCCTTCAGCCCTGTTCACAGCCCTGAACCTGCAGCCCTCGAGGCGGGGCAGCTACCTCTCAGATACACATTGTGGGCTGGCAGGGATGCTTTGGGGTGGGGAGCAAGCCAGTAAGGTGTGTCTTCTTACAGCCTCATCCCACAGCCAGAATCACCTAGAAAGTATGTTCTGCTGAGAACTAGGAAGGCCTCGTTCCTATACCTTGTTCCTGTATATCGTGCGTGCCATTGTGCAAAATCAACCACCTGTTGGTTCCCCTGAGCCTCTGCAGAAAGCCACATGTGTCAGAGGTTACCATGCCTAGATGGTTGGAGGGCCTGGATATTGCTAGCAGAAGCAGGGCAGGCAGGCCCGCAGCAGAGCAGTGGGCCCTTATTGAAGATGCACCTGCAACTTGGGTCCGGAAAGTACAGCCATGCACTCAAGAGTGACAACCTTGAAATGTTTTAAAGTCTGAATATTTCACTGAAAATATTATTTTAAAATATGCCGGCACAACTTACTTTCTGTTTAATGTATACTGGGGGCCAAAAAAAGTATGTCTGAGGGGTGAGTATGTGGCTCACAGACTCTCTTTCCACAACCTCTGGGTGAAAGGTCTATAAAGAAACCTTTCGTTCTGGATGCCGGAAGATCAGTGAAGACCCTAAACTTGTTCTCATCAATCCCCCTCATTTCACAGCCAGGGCCACTGCGGCCCAAAAAAGAGACCTGCCCAGAGGTGAGGTGTTTGTGGCATAATCAAAATGGAATGCAAGATCATGGGAACTCAGAGGGGGCGTGGAAATCGTATTCATCAGACTGAAAGGAAGCTCACATGTTCTGTGACATTCTGAGGGCCAAGGGTGGGAGCTTAAGGCTAGTGTTCCAAAATCTTACAGACAACTTGAGAAAACAAACCATCTGAAGAATAAACATTCTCTAAAGTGGATTTCCCAAACTTGTGCTTGAGTGTACGCAAGTCACCAAAAAGCTGTCTCCCTAAAGAAGTTCTTTTATTCAACTATGCTTCATTATTATACCCTCAAGAAGACTGGGAGCATAATGTCAAGTGTAAAGAGCCAGACACAGAGAACATTTACATGTTTGTAAAACTGCCGCTGAGAATTTTATTCATTATATTTAGAATGCCACTCTGTACAAGGAATCCCATCTTACTTTCAGAACTCAGGACCCTGAAAGCACCATTTAGTCTGATGAACTGGTGTACTCCTGGTTATTAAATAGTAAGAGCCACATACCCTGTATACTTTCCCTCTTTGCCTTGGCAGCTAGGAAGCTCAGGTTTGAGTTTTATATTAGGTTGTTGTTTAAAGTGGAAATATTTTAAAGATCCAACTGTATGATATGTCATACTGATCAGTGTTGACTAAGAAAAATGACAAAAATCTATAACGACTTCAAAACCTTCTAGATTATTTTTTCCTTTTAGATTGATCTGTACATACATATTAGAATATATTGTAAATTTTTAATCCCTCAGGGACCAAAAATAAATTGTTCCTGCTGAGTCTTCAGCCATATTAAACCCTGTGTTCATGTGGCCACCTGGCAAAGTTGGTTCAGTTGGATTTAAGTTTGGCCGTGTGTGTAAGAGACCGGGAGTGTCAAATAAAATTCCAAGTTCTGGTGGCCCTGATCTATGAAGTGGTCAGAGACTCAGACTCCCTTTCTCCTTATTTCCCATTGGTGAGAAACAAGTCACATGGCCATGCATGGCTGCGAGGGGGCCTGCGAAATGTAGTCTTATTCTAGGTGGACATTTACCCAGATGAAAATTATTTTACTGTGGGAGAAGAAGCAAATGGATACTGAAGGACAAGTAAAGTCTAGGCCACCCTAACGGTTATTAGACTTTTGTGTTTGTGATAGTCGTTTGAATAGAGGAGATCAGCCCAAACTAAGGAAGACTGACCCCAGAAAAATGCTACTTAAGTGGACCCACATTTCATAATAAATAGTGCTTTTAATGTACTTAGTAAGGTATTTGATCCAGAAATGAAACTACGATATTTCAAGAATAACTCTGTTATGTTACGTCTCTTTTTTTCTTTTTTTAAGACAGAGTCTTGCTCTGTCACCCAGGCTGGAGTGCAGTGGCACAATCTCAGCTCACTGCAGCTTCCGCCTCCTGGGTTCAAGCGATTATCCTGTCTCAGCCTCCTGAATAGCTGGGATTACAGACGCCTGCCACCACACCGGACTAATTTTTGTATTTTTTATAGAGATGGGGTTTTGCCATGTTGGCCAAGCTGGTCTCAAACTCCTGGCCTCAAGTGATCCACTTGCCTTGGCCTCCCAAAGTGCTGGGATTACATGCGTGAGCCAACACACCCGGCCCTCTGTTAGGTTGTATCTAATGATATTTAACAAAGATTGGGCTCTAGCTGTAACTAATGAGTTGATTCTTTAAGCAAGTGAATTGATAAAGTGTAGGGAGGAATATAATGTGTTTCACAAATTTAAATGGATGGCACAAGATGATATCCTTTACTTCACCAGGGACATTTTTGCAAAAGTATTTGAGATTTGATCAGTTTTTCCAAGGGCCTCTCGTAATTCTTTGACATCTGAATCTTACCCTGTGAAGTGCATCTCATACTTCATCATCCTTTTCAATAGTCTCTTCTCCTTCATGTAGTATCTTTATAGACCAGGTAATTATTCGTCAGTGGATTTGCATGTGTTTTTTGAGCTATCTTCCAGCATCATCTTAATTAATTTCACAAACCCTGCATCTTTTAAAAGATTTGCAATTTCATTTTGCAGTGATCTTGCTTTGCATGGCCCCATGTTTGCAATGGAGATTGACAAAGGACAAAATGAGAGAAGCTAAGTTTAAGCAGGATAAATATCAATTTGTTCATGAATATTTCTCTGTATGGCTTCTTACAACTTGGGGGATTGGATCTCAGATATGAATACCCTTGGAAGGATCAATTTCATCCTCAGGTTTTTTTGTTTGTTTGTTTGTTTGTTTGTTTTTGAGACAGGGTCTCACTCTGTTGCCCAGGCTGGAGTGCAGTGGCACAATCTTAGCTCACTGCAACCTCCACCTCCTGAGTTCAAGCGAATCTTCTGCCTCAGCCCCCCCAGTAACTAGGATTACAAGTGCACGCCACCATGCCCAGCTAATTTTTTGTATTTTTAATAGAGACGGAGTTTCACCATGTTGGCCAGGCTGGTCTCGAACTCCTGACCTCAAGCAATCCACCCTCCTCAGCCTCCCAGAGTGCTAGGATTACAGGTGTGAGCCACCATGCCCGGCCACATCCTCAGTTTTTACAAAGGTTTTATAGTCATCCTTTAACACAGTTCAGCAGTTGAAGTGCCGTTGCCCCACCTGTGATCACTTATATACCCGCAAGTCAAAGTTGTACAGTGTTCCCAGAATGAGACACCTCCCAGCTCTCTGCAGAGTGGTTGAGGGCATTAGCTTTGCCTGGGTTCAAATCCAGTCTCTGCTGCTTTCTGGCTGCATGAACTTGGACAAGTTATTTAGCCTCTGTGTCTTGGCCACCTCAGCCACAGTTAATAATGTCACTTAACTCATGGAGTTTTGTGAAGATGAAATATATTAGAACAGTGTCTGGTACAGGGTCATGGTAGGCACTTGGGAAATTTAGCAATGATGGTTGGGTGCGGTGGCTCGCACCTGTAATCCCAGCACTTTGGGAAGCCAAGGTGGAAGGATGACCTGAGGCCAGGAGTTCGAGACCAGCTTGGGCAAAACAGCGAGATCCCATCTCAATTTTTAAAAAACAACAATAAAAAAAAAATTTAGCAATGACGATGACGATTTGCACAATCACACAGCCCACCTCAGGCCAGTGTTCTGATTAATGTCACGGTAAGTTGCGCTCACGGATCAGCATGTGTTCAGCCTCTCTGGTAATCAGCAAAATGCAAACGCAGCCAACAGTGCATGATCACATCCCAGCCATGAGCACGGCAAATACGAAGAGACCCCATCGCACCACATGTTGGTGAGAATGTAGGAAAACAGGAAATCACATGCACTCAGCAGTATGATGGCAAATTGTTCCCTCCACTTTGAAGAGCAGTTTGCCAATTCCTGGCAAAACTGATAAAGGGCATCTCCTTCCACTCAGCAATTCTACTGTAGCTCTGTTCCCCTCGATTCTGAGGAGGT